TCATCATTGAACCGAATCAAAGCAAGCAGTACCACAACATTTGTGGGTTGGCATACAAGGAGGAAACTGCGACCACACAAAAGGCCACATCATCTTGGTCTTGATACCTTTGATTGAGGCATACTTGAACTTGGACTTAGGCTCTGTCTGTACCAAATTTTATCCAAGTTATTTTTCTCTTTCCAGTTTCCTGTTTTATCCCCGTCCTGTAGATGTGACGACTTGGTCTGCCACCTATCTTGAGCAGGTATACCCAATCTGGCCGGATTAGGCAACCCCATCTCATTTTTCATATCCGAATTCGTCTGTGCGATGACGTCTGCTGGTGTACCGTCTCCTTTTCATACGGCATGTTCTCTCGTATACTATCTGTATTTGCCTTAATACCCATGTCAATCGTACCTCCGCCTAGAAAGGACTGTACTAATGCAACGTCTAAACGCAGCTCAAGCTATTCGATAAGCATATTGTTAATCCATGTCTGCAGGACGTCATTTTCGCCGAAATAATAAAAATATATTGCCTGAATCGACTATTAAGCGGCACGATGTTGCGCACCGATTAATTATCTGATCATAATGCCCCTTAAACGCTGGCTACATTAGGCAACGCACAGTATCAGTAACCCAGTTACCAATATCTTCTGTTCGTCTCCTCCCCATTACCTGCATTTATACAAACTAATTCTCCATTACCAGTGTATAACTATGAACAGCACCTGAATCTACACAGCTTACTAACCATTTCTTATTCCTATCTTGCTTATCGTTCTCAAGTCAGGCCTCCTGAACCTTATGCCAATAAGTCAGATCACAAGTTTATTGGAAAATTAACTATAAGCTGGCTACTGAAGGAGTCTTAGTAGCCGAATCGTTCTGCTGTTCTCACTCCGTTAGAGATCTAACGAAACAAGATAGGCTTTGATGAAATATAGATAGATGCCCATATCAACGGCTTCCTTATCACTTGACCATAGATGTGATGAACGTTAAACAGCACAAGTAGCCAGCATAGTAAGGATTTTATGTATCAAAAACTAGGTTGAGCAGTCCTTTGACGTAGTACTAAAGAATCGGCTACAAATATGGACCCTAACTTCCACGATGTCCGCCCTAATACAGACTTCAGCTTGGCGTGGACTAATTGAGTAAGTGGGTTTCAATGAATCTATTAAGATGACATTATTAAGGAGACTTTCAGTTCGTATGAAAGTGTATGATGAAGAGATTAGAAGGTCGATCTCATCAGAAGACGACGGCTGATTCCCGTTGTATTGCAACCGTTTAGTTTTAATACAACTGTCAGGTATACGCAGACATCCATCATTATTTCGGATGAAAACAGGCAGAGCTTTCGTCCATCATATGATTGACATTATCAGAGCTGGAAGTCATTCTTGTAAAAGTCTCAAGTTAAAGTTACGTCAAGAAGACTGTCCAACTATATCTTACCTCCTATTTATACTAATAACTAAAAACGATAATGTATAGGCATAGATGGATATTTTTTTCGTTTTTGAATAGGTTATCGAGACTACTAGTAAATCAGATATATGAGCTGTGTTCACCCTATCTTGTTTAAGGTGAGAAAGGACTTGTAGCTGAATTTTCTCACAATCATATAAGTAGAGCTGACATTTCCATTGAACTTCACAGCTTTGCTCTTTTACAGGGTATTCTTCTCTAGGGTGGACTGAAGTTTCGACCACCCTGGATAGGAATACCTTTTGGAAAAGTGAAGCTATGTGAAATTTAATGGAAATGTAAGGTCAATTCTTACCTTTGTGGAAAAATTCAACTACCATCTTAAATAGCTCTGCATTTACTTAATCGGGTAATCCTTTTAGTCCAAACCGTGTCTTGTGCACTGAACTCTGGTCAATTTTATCTATCGTGTGGTAGACAATTTCAGTAGTAAAAGCCACACTTAAGCAATCTTTACAAATCATTCAATTGAAAGACAACTCTGTTTATTCGTGCTTGGAGCCTACAGCTCAATAGACCAAATGCGACGATAGGGTCACTTATAATAAAAGCAGCCCAAATAATGCTCAGAAGCTCAAAAGCTATCTTTTTCCTGCAACATGCGTTAAGTTATGACTAACACCATAAAACATGAATACAGTATATATTGGCCTAATTTCATTCCATCAAAATTATGTTAAATAGACTCTCGACATATATAATAACAAGCATAATATAGAAAGCCATGAAGCTAGGCGACAATTATTCGGCGTTGATTAATCGAATTACGAGTTTCCCTTTGATTCCTGTACTTAGACAATAAAATACGGAAATAAAAACCCACGAAAATGGATATAAGTTTGGAATACAATGGCAGACAATAATACAATCAAGCAGAATAACTCAAGACAGAATTAGTTAATATGGTCCACCATGAATATGCTTTGAATAGAGAAATCATAGTTGATCCCCAGTATCCATAAGCTATTCGTTCTAAGGACCGAAAGAAACGTTCCATCCCAATTTCATAATATAATTCTGCCTAATCACACGGCTTTAGCCGTTTTTAGCCGGAGAATCAAATTATGTCAAGCTTCTTTATTATCCTCCCACCCCGACGCCAGTTTAGGCAAGTAATGACGTTTAATTTTTGTAAGGTTTCCATATCGGACAAGAAAGAACTATATTTTTGTGAATAGCCTACGTCAAAAATAAAATCGTCATTCATATTTGCCATTTAGTGATAGCGCATAACCAAAATTCCGATCCCCATGATACTAAGTTGTCATACGAACAGGTAAGCGATAATAAGAAAATCACATAGGTCATGCACTCCTGTATATATAAAGGCATTAAATTTAGGTGGACTAAAATAAGGTAGATGAAAATAATTAAGTAGAGAAGAGTAATAAAGAGGAAACTAAAGCTAAGGTAAAAAGTTAAGATGCTGGATACTTGATCCATGAAAATTTGACTGGATCTTATTGCATAATAAATGCAGGAAATATGAACAAAACTAAGGCAACGAGCTTGCCACATGATAGTTTTACAGATGAACCTTAGACAAGTGGACTAAAAACGTCATTATCATGATGCTTGTGCGAAGAAATGAGATCATGCCCAAACAGAATGCTTTAATATGTCAATAATTCAGTCGACCTAAAATGGAGGACAAACAATCCAACCATGAAGAGGGAATACTGGAAACATAAACAAACTGTTGCAGTAATTCTAATTACCTCAGACCAGGACATCTAATGGTTGTGGAATACGGTGTTTTATGAACCCTCTAATCATGCCCCCTTAGAAGAGCAGTACACCTCATAGGACAGGTCCTCCGATTAAGGTTTCAGACCAAGTCACAAGTGGAAATCTCATAATAGCATTACGAAAGGTAAAATGAGGAGTGGGAATCTGCAAAACTGAATGAGTAGAGTTTGGGGTATTCTACTTACTAGCATTAGCAAGAAAATAAAACAAACTTCACTCACTCTCGCATGAGAACCAAAGGGAGAAAGTTAAGTACAGAGGAAAAGTATAAGGAGTAATCGGTCCACAAATGATGCCGCATCATAGCAATGGAGGTACTTCTGGATGATCATCCACAAACGAAACTTCGCTTAGCCCCTCAGGATCCGTCTTGATGAGACGATCTACCGAAGTAATTCGGGATTTTTGGGATTGCTGTTTAGATGCGCATGAGGACGACAAATGCGAAGTGTGGACGTCACCAAGCGACACAATGTTTGGCCAATCTGTGGATTTCCGCATCTGGTTGGCCGAGGTCAGCTCGGCATCCAAGAGAGCTGTGGAACGTCCTGAAGTCTGAGCCGCATTCGTCTTGGCTTGGGAGCATTTGGAGCTATTAGGGCAACATAAGTGTAAAGTGATTGGGTGAGGTTAATGTGTATTTGATTGGGTAGCTTTAAGGTTATAGTAGAGGGAGATAAAGCTATGTGAAGGAGAATCGAAAAGTGTTGATTATACCGTCCTGAATGGTATTTATACAAATCTGCAAGCATAGTTTTAGGAAAATTCCGGGAACTTTAGTGCCAGATTCGCCAGCTCATGAAGAAACTTCGATATTCAAGCTAAATAAAGATTCGAACAATCACTGCATTATAGTCTGTGCCTCCAGAATGAATCGTAGTGATAAAATCACATTAAATTGTAGACAATAATAGATAATTCGAAAGTATAGATACCAAGATGGTGTGTTGTGTAACTAAGGTATGCCAAGCTGGATTGGTTAAGACATTGACAAGTAGTTTTCTCAATGCCATTGAGTAGACTTCGAATGAATTCTATTCATGAAAATTTGCGTCTGTGTGCGAAAATTGTATTAATGCTATGTTATAAAGTAGGTTGTCATTAAAGCTTCTATTTCTTATGGAAAGTTGGATGGCGAGACTCGTAAATTGGCCTTACCAAGAATCGAAAAATGATTGCCTGAAGTTGTGACCGTTGAAATAAGAGTAGAAGCCATTGCCCACCACCTATCGTCCTGAGACCCCGGTCCATCTATGCAGAGCTCTCGTCTGCCCCAACACGACAGATAACATCCAAGCAAGGAAGCGTTTTTCAGCAAACGTCGCCAATTTTGATGACAAGAGCTGATATCTGCTACCATTATGCATACTTTTGATGGTTATAAATGGCTGTTTCTCCTTATAGCATATACTATTATGATGAAATACTTGTCAATTATTCAGAATGGACGTTTATCTTGAATAGACAGTTTCTTGAAACTTTCCATTTACATAGGCTATAGTGCTGAGTTCTTCTTCAACCTCTTTAGCATAGTTAGAAAAAAAATTTAAAAACAAACCCCTATTAAAGGATTTCTATTCCTATTCCTTGTTAGCTTAACTCATTCTTCATTAGCTAGTACACCCGAAAATGGTAACTTCTAAATGCCTAACTAATTTATTTGTCCAATCACACTATTCATAAACTGAATAAATTCCCAACCTTTGTAAAATAGTAAATTAGTCATTCATATAGTTATCGAACCATGAGAGCTTCATAAACTAGGCGAATTTCGGCATTGATACTGAAAAAAAATGCAATCGCATAACCATGCCTTATGGTTGCTATATAATTTACTATATGCAATGTTTACAAGTAAATTTAGTAATCTCATGATTGGCTCTGCTTGATTTCTATCAATTCTAGCTTATCAGTTTTGTTCTACTATCGGCAACCATACTTAGCTAATTGACTTTATGAATACCAAGCTGGTGCGGCCTTTAGTATGGTCGTGGTCTCCTTTCGTTGTAGAGAAGTTGTTCGACTTTGTTTTCGCTACTTGGTTATATTGCCAGGAAGATCTAAAGAAACACACCTTGTCTGAAGTCCATATTAAGCCTGATAATTTCCATATTCAGAGCATGAACTTGGTATTTTTCCAAGTCCGCATTCCCATTCTAGTCTACCAGTGTTGATCTAGTGTCGACAACCATACTTGGCTAGAGGCTTCTCCGAAATCCATCTTACCATT